AAATCATGAACTTAAAATATTCAATGCTGTCAAATATGTTAGTGAGGTTATGGCATAATCACAGTGCTTATTCCATGTAATGGTAGCATGTAAAATTGCCACTGGAATCTCCGGGCATTCTTCCATTAGAATTCTGATGTTACAATTTTTACATAATTCTAATAATGCTTTGCCATGTGCATTAATGGATGTGTCCCTGTTATTACGAATTGTTGGTTCTGATATGTCATCATCTAAAGTAAGAATTAGGTAATGGTGTAAATCTATTATTATCATTATCAACATAATCAGGTAGTGTACCTGTTCTACTGTTAAGATCTCTGAGTAGAATAATGTTGCCTTTTTTTGAAAATTTGGATATTTCATTCTGTAAATGTCAAAAAAGTCTGATTTGCAGTGTCTTGAGTTTGAAGGTGGATGATAAGTGAAGCACAAGTAAATGTCTCTTGTAAGGTTAAAAAAGTTCTTCTTCATTCTACACCATAGCATATCCTCAAAAGGTGTATCTTCAATTGTGATGCCCTTTTTAAGATGTTGTTTTATGGCAATTGATATTCCTCCTTCTCGTTGCTTGTTCCTTGTTATAGAGTAACAATAGTATCCAGGTATGTCTATAGTGTTAGAATTTGAACTCAACCACGTTTCTCCTAGACCAAGGATATCATGGCAATTTATATTTGCTATAAAGTTATCATCTTCGAATTTCCTTCCTAAACATTGAATGTTCCAATAGGAAATTGATAATGCTCTTTTTGAAGTATTAACTGTCTTTTTTTGGTAATACATTATTTCTTGAAAGCTGCATGTGTACAGTCAGCTCATTTCGACGAGTCAATCACTGTAAAATGCATTTATAGCGAATATATACACACCTGGATGGTGACTGGTCTGCAGCTGGGTGTAACTGCATAGTAAGTTCCCCTAGTTTAGTGAAGGCTGATCCAGCAGCGGAAAATATTTCACCGACCTGTGTAAGGTAAAATATGGAAGGAACGTAACGAACAGCAGTCAATCATCAGTGATCATCAAAACAATGAACGAACGGGTTCACGGTGTCGAGTATGCAAGGAAAGACATATAAATACACATCAGCCATGACATTATTGTGAAATCAGAACGACGTAAGATTGATTTAATCTACTCACCTTAGCAGCTGAACTCATAATGAATAAAATACGTGTTTATTTCTTCACAAAAACAAAACAGCCGCGAAAATGGCCACCGGAAGTTTATTAATAAGCTATGCATTCTGGGAGTTTTATGGACTCCGACGCGATCAGTCGACTTTCTCATGTATCTTTTTTACAGTTGACCAACCGTACTCCCTACTCCAACGTGACCACGGCGTCACACAACATAAAAAATAGTCATTTGCACAGAAGAACAGCCATGATTAAATCGGCGCCGATTCATAAAATATTCTGTCGAAAGGTATTTATTGTCCTGACGTTGGGGGCGCAGTTTATTGTTCCCACAAATTTGTCAAAGTACGTTGCGGAACAATCTTTTAAAATTTTTAATATATTTTTGTTACATAAATATCATTGTGTAATTCGCGCGTTTGCAAACTAGTAAATTAAAATATTTAAAAAAAAATCAAATTATATCATTACTGAGACACTGAATGCACTGATCTGAGTAAAGATCACAATTTGGCATCACAATCTTTGTGTGCTAATTTTTATATCAATTGTATATTATTATACTGAGAGTTCACTGCTTGTGACTAATTTTGTTTTACTCGTAAGTTGATTTTATTTTCTTATATACAAGGAATAAGTTTTACATTACAATGTCTTGCACTACAATAACACAATGGTAAGATAATGCTACACAATTAGGTAAAAAATACCCCAGTTTGCATTTTTTACCAATATTATTCACAAAAATGAACAAATCTTAGAGGTCCACCCAAGGCACCTACATACCAAGTATCAAAGTAATTGGCCTGGTAGTTTTAAGAAGAGCACTATAAATGTTAGCCATTTCAAAACTGGATGGTTTTCTTAGTAGATCAAATGCCACCCCTTGGAAGGAGGGGGGGGGGGGCACATTCATGGGTGACCCCAGGCGAACCTGCATACACAGACAAACACAAACTCCCATGATGTTAAACAAACACCTCAAACAATCAACCAGAATGAAACGTTATCAACAAACTTTTATTTCCTTTAAAATTGATAAGTATCAGAATCTGTTCCCATTATAAGTTACCTTCTATCACATTAATTGGCAAGTATGGCAGTAAGGTTATACACAGGTGTCACAAGTAAGGCATGTAATTTTCTTTTTCTGTAAATTAATTCTATCTATAACATATTCAACAATTCATCTATTTACAAATTAAAAGCATCACAATTATTTTAATTTACAAGCTTTCTTTATGTAATCACCTAACTGTAAATTGAAAGCTGCATTTTAGCCATATTAAAAAATATTCCCAAGAATATAAGATATAAAAACTTGAAGTTGTACATGAAAGTATGTACGAGCAAACCCACTTACAAATAAAACTGCCCCATGCATACAAAGGAGTGCATCAGTTGAGAAATATATTAGCAAAAAAACACAACAACAAATGTTGCTAGTTTCAAGATATCAGTACATGTACCATATATACAAAAGACATTAATGGAATTCATTAGGGCAGACAAATGAATGAAGTTAAAATTAATCAGATACTGAAAAATCAAATAAAGTGACCAAATAAACTGAATTTTTCATAATTAAATATACAAATTGTGAACTACAATAAATAATAAAATGTCTACAAGTTTCAAATATTGTGTAATAACACACAAATTCATAAAATATATAATAAATAATAATATAATATTCAATAAATAATATATCTATGTATATAAAATCTTGAGGAGTCGTATATTGTACAGAGTAATGAATCAAGGCATAACTGATGTACTGATAGGCAGTACTGTATTGTACATGTGATGACAATGAACACCACTAAATAGAAATTTACATAATTATGCAAATATATACTAAAATATTCAGCAAACTGGAAGTGCTCTTAATATTTAATTGAAAATGTTAGTTTGTACAATGTTTCTTTATAATTTACAACTCAATGTACAACAAGCAATAGAAGATTATTGACAAATATACATCAACTTACTGTTCTGAAAGCATGTGCAATAGAGAGAAAAACCTTGCATGAAATGGCACTCATTGTTACTACTAAGAGCGTTTCTTAGTATAAAAGTATTAAACAATCTCAAGCCATGACATAAACTTGACATCTTCTTTTGATGATTCTATCTAAAGACAGTTTAGTTGGCCCTGTTGCGAGTGGGTTCCTCTTGTTTGGTGTGTCAGTCGGTGAGGGAGTTGGAGACTCGTATCTAGCAGGTAGACTGTAAGTACTTCCTGAAGATCTGCAATAATATAACTAGTGATTAGTAAATCCTGTTGAATGAATCGCTGACTACCCCATTACCGGCATACAGGTCTGTGAGATACTGTGTCAATATGGTAACTAATAATCAGGCTGTGTTATTCTGGAAAACAGCCTGTAACATGAGTTCCAATTGCTTGCCTAACAAGTGAGACTTGAAAGGGATTTAAATAGGAAGTTAGTAAAATGTAGTGGAAGGTGTACAGTGGCGGCCATAAACAAGTGGTCGTATCTTTAAAGCCAATCAAATTTTAATCAAACTGATTAAGCATGTACAGCTTACGCAACTGTACAAGATTTGGAAATTAACCGTACAAACCATGCTCTAACCTATCCACAAAAATAAATTGTGAAATAACTGCTCACCTAATCCCTGGAGAGTAAAAATGACTTCTGACCATAGCAGCTGACTGTGTATGATAGGGATCATTACTTATGGAATGCGACCTATGACTGGAATATGGTATTTTCCTCTCAAGGTAAGGACTGCCATATGTTGCTGTATCTGGATGCAACCCTTTACGACTTCGCATTTTACTGTCAATCAATGGCGATGCATTGGTAGATAAAGGTGCAGTATATTGTAGTTTAAGTTTCATATGCTGACCAATCTGTCAAATAACAACAATTCATTATTTTGTTGAGTCTCTAGAAATGCATGCAAGTATCAATTCTTATCCAGTCAACAAAACCAGCAACATAGATACTAACTCAAGTTATAGCAGTGAATTGTAAGCTATACTGCATATGGCCCATAACCCATACAAGTGAAGCACGGAAACAGAGCCTTAAAATAGATACAGATACACACAGGTGGACAGGCGTGCAATGACAAGTGTGACTATGGTCGGTCATATTTCAATGATTCACTTTAGTTGTGCACTTCTATTATATACGCTTATAAAACACTACTTCACTTCACTTTTCAGCATGATTTGACCTGAAACAACATCTTTTGACCTAACAAGTCTTTCATTAACCAATCAAAATGATGTGTCAAAATGACAAAGTTTTCAGATTGTTGACGAAGTAATTTTTTTATTGCAGTGCAAAATATTAAAATGCGATCTGTTAAGCACAGATTTTGATGAGAAAACAGCAATTTTTTTCCTCAAAAACTGGTGATTCACAATTTGTGAATGGTAAACTAAGTTTGGAGGAAGTATTTAAACACCTTTCAGGGTCGACAACAGGTCATGTCGTAGGATAGTTTACTCGCTCACACCCCATTCATGATAGTCTCAATGGTCATGATTATTCCGAGAAGTAAAATGATGTCCAATGACCAGACAACTGTACTAAGCAAAATTTTAATGCAACTTTTTACACGCATATTTTCATAAATGCCCAGTAAAAACACCATGGGTCTATAATCAGGGATAGGCTTATACTCGGAGAGGGGCTTATGATCAGGGAAGAACCTTCACAAAATCTCATTGGACCAAAGTATGCAGATTCACTTAAACATTAAAAAAAATCATCATGAAAATTGTACAATGAAATCAGATAAATAACTTACCTCAAATACTCCAGGATTCAAAGCTTGAAAACCAACATTAAAAGTAAGAGTAGATCCCGTTTGGCAGTAACCAGTTGACGAATAAGGTTCATGACATATCACAGAATTTGTAATGGCATCCATGCAGCTAGTATTCACATCTGAAATAAGTCACAACTTATTATTGTAATTTATTATACAACTGTATGTAGTTATTGTCAACAGCTTTGGAGCAGTGCAAATAATACTCTGTGTATCTGAATATTAATCCTACCACAATTGTTATCTGACCTACTTTTTAATTTTGTATTGAACATACATAATTCAATATTTGCCTTGCAAAAACTGATATTAATATATAATATAAAAAACATGAAAATATAAAAAGATTATTGTATGCGATGGTTTGAAAAACTATCAACGAGATAATAATAAACTGACACATAAAACATTAAATTTTCCAATCTTGCATGTGATGTAATTTTGCAGGTACAAAGCATTATATTTTGCATTTTCAATAAATTCCAGCTTTTATTAGTACACCGACTGGGTATGTGCAGCACTCAATGTGAAATAATTAGGATAGCAGCAAGCAGTGAACTTTATTGTGCAACACCAATGTTCACGTTTTTAAATTTTGTGATTTTTGCAAATAACTAAATTAACATAATATGACATAGCCTTCAAGTGTTTTAATGTAAAATTGTGGACACTACAAGCATGGACAGACAGATGCAGAATGAACTGTAGAACAGGAAAGATAAATATATAAATACCGGTATAGCTATATTTAATTTAACCAAAAACATGACAATTGAAGTCTCTATAGCCAAATGGTGTTGCATAAATCAACACAAGATATTAGATCTTACTAATGTGCGACACAAGGCTATATCTATATTCATTTGATTATAATTAAGATCTATGCAAATCCAAATTAATTTTTGTATTCCCAGTGGTGTACAGTGTTGCAGGAGACATGCTCACATTGTACTGAAAAATTGTGGGTGGTGTTAATAATTTCAAATTGCATACAGATATAAGGTGAGGTGCTTATCACAGGGAGTCACTAACAAAATAGCCATCAGATGGCCATTTTGAGTTTAATCTGAAGTACAAAATAATGTCCAATGTATGTACCAAGTTTGAAGGAAATCTCATACATAACGCAGATCAAGTTCCGGAATGACAGTAATGCTTCATTCTGAAAAAATTGTCGCCATTTGGCAATCTTGATTATGATCACAAAACATATGTATCAACAGATATATGATGTTTGTATTAAGGTTGGAATAGAGATGCAGGTCGGCCTTCACAGAAATGACGACCAAACACATGTGAATATTTAACGGTTAAACATAATATACTATACTGCTAAAGAATATCTGCATTATCGCATGAACCGAAAAAAATGACACACATTAACAGTACAGCTTTGAGTTGAATCCATTTTTTACCTTCTTTTTTCTCTTCTTTATTATCAGGATTCCATAATAGTTTAACACTGATAAAATCTTGCAAGTTGTTGAGGACAGTATACGTCACATTAAAACTGCAACAGAAAATAAAAAATTTGGGATAGATTAATATAAGGCGTGTTTGTATGCAAAATAAATGTCTGACCATTTACCTTATCTAATGATCTACGACAGCAGGACAGGTACCTGTATGAACTTTCACCTTATATGACAGCAGGACAGGTACCTGTATGAACTTTCACCTTATATGACAGCAGGACAGGTGTCTGTATGAACTTTCACCTTATATGGCAGCAGGACAGGTATGTGTATGAACTTTCACCTTATATGACAGCAGGACAGGTACCTGTATGAACTTTCACCTTATATGACAGCAGGACAGGTACCTGTATGAACTTTCACCTTATATGACAGCAAGACAGGTATGTGTATGAACTTTCACCTTATATGACAGCAGGACAGGTACCTGTATGAACTTTCACCTTATATGACAACAGGACAGGTACCTGTATGAACTTTCACCTTATATGACAGCAAGACAGGTATGTGTATGAACTTTCACCTTATATGACAGCAGGACAGGTACCTGTATGAACTTTCACCTTATATGACAGCAGGACAGGTACCTGTATGAACTTTCACCTTATATGACAGCAGGACAGGTACCTGTATGAACTTTCACCTTATATGACAGCAGGACAGGTACCTGTATGAATTTTCACATTATATGACAGCAGGACAGGTACCTGTATGAACTTTCACCTTATATGACAGCAGGACAGATGGCAGCAGGACAGATGACATACAGTATAGACAAGTGAATATTCAATGACTGACATTTCACATGGAGATGATTATGAAAACCTGTCTATAGATAACAACTAGTGTTGATATGTTACATACCTTTTTCCTACGGTGATTGGTGAATCACATGAGGCTGACATGACAAGGGATGGTAGATTTATTTTAATTCTAGGTAATTTGTAATGAGTGATAATGACTTCACTGTTTAACTGTGATGATGTACTCCATGATAATGCCAATAATAATGGTACTTCAAAACTCTGTGATGAACAGAAAATGCTTACTAATTAACGTTGACGTGAAAGTCGTCGTGGAGAGCGAGTTCAACGTGTGGTATTGCGTCGTATGTGAGATGAAAGGAATATGGTGACCTCATACACTCAGTTGAACATCATAATGTTGTCATTGTACGTTATAGCAATGTATAGCGTGCTGAAAGCCTCCACAAATAGCCAAAATGATTGAATAATAATTGGTGTCAGTGGTTGATGTGTTACAACGTCGGTCCATTGCACCATGCTGCATATAGCAAAGATTTGACACATTGCGTGAAAGCCTCCACAAATTGAATGGGAAAAATTTGCATCATCATATAATGTGTTAAACCACCAAGGCATGCATTAGTGGCAGGTGTTGACGAACTAACAAATGATGCATACACAGTGTCCTTGATTTACTAGCCAGGTCAGCTGGTGACCCAAACATTCCTATAATCCAGTTTTTTCTCGACAAACACCTCCCCAAGCTAGCGACAGCTGTGCCAATTTTGTGTTCAAAGCAATAATTTGTTTTTATTTGATATATGTCTACAGCATTTCACAATGAAAACACTAGAAATCTAAAATGTACATCAGTTACAGCAGTATTGCAGCACATTGCTATATCAACAAGACATTGTTTTTTTGTGTTTTTTTTTTAAATATGTGCACATCAAAACTCTTGTGTATTGTTCTGAATCTATAACTCACCTCTGTATTTTCATGATTTGCATAATTCCTAATATGAACACGAAATACAACACAATGTTTTTCCAAGGGCTTCAATGTGATTGGCAGCTGACAGCTCCTGGATGTTACCATGGAAATTGAGTTGACATCTAAATATTTCGACACTCTCCTGACAGAAGAAGTGAAATGAATAATATTGACACGGTCGGTGAAATGAACGGATTTAGTTATTACCGTGGTCACCATATGTTCTATAATAACACAGAGTAAAGAGTATCTCAATATGTCCTCAGACTGTAACTGTCAATGTTGTACTGTGTGTACCTGTAGTGCATACACATACATTGTAGTATCACCATTTTACAAATCAGTGCTACATGTATACAGTGTAGTGATCAATTAAGGCTTAAAAAAAAAAAAAAATAATTCTGCTTCTCGTATCATTTGAAAATGAGGTTGGGTGGAATGGTTTTTTTTTAATTTTTTATTTTTGACAAAACTTAGGAGAGATAGTAGATCACTGATGCAAGACAAACAGTGACACTTTGAACAAAATGAGAGGTATTTTTACTGTGGATTAAACTCAACTTCTTGCCATTCGCATTGACAAGAAACTGTGTAAAATAATGTGACAAATCTGTTAAGGTGGTGCAGACTTTTAATTTTAATTTTCGTAATAATTCATGGTGGTCAGAATTATCAGAAAATGCTAAATCTCAGCTAAACAAACATACATAATCCATTTCCAAATGGCAATAGAAAACAATAGATCAATGTTCTGCAAAAAATATACCGTTATATGTATAGACTGGTGTGTACAAATGTATGTGTGTAGAAAGTACATGTACACTTGTTGAATGATGTCATTAATTATGCAAATTGCATCCATAAATTTGGTAAAAGCTACGAAAGTTTACTTTGGCATTTAAAGAGTTTATACAAGAAACTTTATCCAGTTTTAACCCCCCCCCCCCGGTTTGATTTGTTGATTTAATCTAGTTATAAAAAGGGAGAAATAAAAAAAATAATCCCAAAACAAGGTAATCTGCAGTGAATAGTCACAATTTTGCATAAACAGTCAGGAAATATAGCACACTGAGTGGAGTCAATAGTATTGGTTATACTGCGTTTTGCATTTGAGAACTTGGGTGAAACATAACAATGTACATATATTAAGGTATAAACATTGGCTTATCATATCATGCTGATAAAGACAAGTTTCAATGATAAGATTCTGTTTTTTTATTTTAAAATAATTCTGACTTATAGAGGCAAGGAATAAACTGAATTTTCTCCAGTGGTCTAGACCAATATATGCAACTATTTATTATTTTCTATAAATACATACACATAAATAGTAAATATTTCAAGCTAAAAAAAATAGCAAATAAAATAAACTCCTCAATATTCAACTCAGCTAAGGTCAGCAGAGAGTATAGTAATTGAATATAGAGAAGTTAAAATATAATATCTGAAGTTAGGAAATTGAATTACTGTACGTCATGGCACATATATGTATGTATAGTTTACAAATAACACATTAGTAGATAAATATTCAATATTGCTAGATGACTTGAGCAATGGTTCTTTATTGATAGCTTAGATATTTAATGCATAGATCAAAATATCTAGCTATTACTGAATAATGACAACTATTACCAAATATTTTTCTAATATACATTGTATCATATGTATCGGTTCAAGCTTTTATTAACTCGTAACATTGCTAGGTTTTTGTATGTATAGATATATAATAATATTACTTGTATTTTCTAATTGAGCTATACTAGATGAATTAGGGTTGGTAACCATCAACAACAACTTGATTAAAACCAGGTGAACATCTACCTTTTCAAAAAAAAAAAAAAAAAAAAAAAAACATTTTTGCCCACCAAAATCCTACCAAAAGGTCTCCCAAAGTTTCATAGTTAACAAAAACTTCTCAAACTTAACTCTGGAACCCTAACACATCTTTAGTTTAAGAACAAGCCATGCATGGCACAGTTACCAAATTTAGATATATAGTTTTGTTTATAGTAATATAGCTGGAATATAACCATGTCAGGATATGATTTTTAACATTAAATGATTGACATTTGTATC